ATCCGAAATTTTTAAAGAAGCTATGTTGACTTTCTTTGTATTATATGGCTTGCTTTTTGGCAATGCCACCAGCCCCAAGTGTTTAAAAAAAACGACATAAACAGGCAGCCTTAAGTCAGATTCTTTTTGCCACACACTCTACCCCTCTGCCCAAAAAAGCCCAAAAACATGAGATAGGCCACTTCTCATAAAGCAACACAACTCCAGGGCTGGGGCTTCAATATGAACTGTCATGATTTGATCACAAGTCCCACAAGAGTTGGATCAGAGAGCAGCTTCTTGGTTTTCTGCATTAAGGACCCAAAAGAGAAAATCCAGAAGGCACCAACATGTTACTCTGAGAACTCTGGAGTTTTAAGTCTGCCACCTCAGCACAGCTTCTTTTATCTTCCCATTGACTCTTGAACTCTATCCTCTCGCCTCTGAAGGAAGAAGCCACAAAGCAGTTTTTCGGAAATCAAGCTGTTAGAATTTCTACATATTAACATGGAGATAATTTACCCGCTTATTCTGCCCCATCCTCTTTCCAAATACCCTCGGTGCCTCAAACAAACATACCGTACAGAAACCCTCTGAACTACTGATAAGGAGAAAGAGGATGCTAATTAGACTCCCCCTCTGCTGCTCTCAAGTTTTCTGTTCAGTTCTAGGATTGTTAAATTTAGATTAATTGAACAGTCAATGGAAATCCCATTGACTATTCAATTAATTAGTCAATAAGGACATTTCCGCCTTTGAACTGTAGCAAGAGCCCTGCCAGGCTCTTGTACATTTCAAAAGCAGAATCCCCTCAGGGAGTGCAGGCTACCGGGGGCTTCACTTTGAAATTTACAAGAGCTCCACTGGGGCTCTTATACATTTCAAAAGCAGAATTGCAGCAGAACCAGCCTGAGTGGAGACTGCTTCATTCCCCGCTTGCACCGTTTCCTGTTGTGCCTCTACCTTCCCCACCCCCAGCAGAGATAATGTTGGGGGGAACTGGTTTTTAAGCTGGCTCCTCCCAGCACCAGCTCCTGCTCCCCTCCTCCCGCCTCTCTCTGATAAGCATATGCTTATTGGATAGTTGACTAGTCACTTACAACCCTATTCAATTCTGGCCAGTATTCAATTCCCAAATATTTCCAGGCCAAAAAGCAGAGAGGATCATTTGGTCTCCAGAGGTTAAAAATCCAATACTGGGAAGAAACAGAGAGAGAGAGAGTCATCATCCCCCCAAGAGCAAGCTGCAACACTTGATAACCCAGTTTCTTAGCTAAGCAACCAACCTGCACAGCATTCTAGGCTTGTTATAACAACAGATTCAAAGATCAAAAGGCGCCATTCTGACTTCCTGTATTACACAGGCATAGAACTGCCCCAAAATAATTCCTAGAAACATCCAATCTTGATTTAAAAATGGTCAGTGATGAACAATTTACCATGATTCTTGGTAAATAGTTCCACAGGTTAATTATTTTCACTGTTAAATTCAGACTGGCAATAAGGTGTACACTTTTGTCTAGCTTTACCTTCAGCCAGTGGATTATGCTATATCTTTCTCCACTAGACTGTACTTACTAGTTTCCCATGTACATACTTATGGACTGTAATCAAGTCACCCCCGCCTTGCCTTTATTAAGCTAAACAGAACTAAAATTGTCTCATCGTGGTCCTGTATTATTGATACACACAAACCATTAAACATAAAACTGTAAGACATCTATGGCGTATGGTGAGTGAACAATCTCAAAGCTACGTGGTGGATTTATGAGCTAGCCAGCCAAGATTAAACAAAATACATAGACGTGTATTAAAACTGTACATTACCTAGCCACAAAATGCATGCCAAAAATGCAAGGAGCTGACATGTAAGGAACGTATGTCACTTTAGTAGTATTAACACCACAAGTGGCAAAATTCATAACACCTTGAACTATCAAAAGATTTAAAAACTATATAATATTTCTCAGAGTAGTGGCCACGTTAGTATGTATCTGTAAAAACAACAAGTCCTGTGGCACTTTACAGACTAACAGATTTATTTGGCATAAAGTTTTGTGGGTCAAAACCACTGTGTCAGATGTGTTAATCGAAAATCACAGAGGCAAGGATATAGATACAGGCAGTCCCCGGGTTACGTACAAGATAGGGACTGTAGGTTTGTTCTTAAGTTGAATCTGTATGTAAGTCGGAACTGGCGTCCAGATTCAGCCGCTGCTGAAACTG